GATGGACATACAGTTTTGGATCTCTGGTGAGGATCGGAGTGGGAGGTACAGATTTGGAAATCACCAAACAGAAGGAGAAGTCATAGGTTAACAAGATCGAACGTTGATAGAAGAACGTTGATGAATTGTGTTCCCCAAAGGTGTTGAAATCCTAATGCTCTGTGCCTGTGAATGGGATCTTACTTGGAAACAGAATAGGATCTTTGCAGATGATCAAGTTAAAATGAGATGTTAGGGTGGGTCTTAATCCAATATGACTGTGTTTATAGAAAGGAGAAATTTGGACACAAACTGACACAGAGAGAGAGAAAAAGAGAGAGAAAACACCACATGAAGATAAAAGCTGAGATTAAGGTGATGTTATCTACAATCTAAGTAATGCCAAGTTTTCCAGCAAACCAGAAGCCAGGAGAGAGGTACTAATAGTCTCCTTCACAGCTTTCAGAAGAAAGCAACCCTGCCAACCCTTGATCTCAGACATCTAGCCTCCAGAATTGATGGGCAATAAATTTCTGTGGTTTAAGCTACCAGTTTGTGGTACTTTGTTAAAGCACTCCTCGGAAACTAATAGAAACAGGTAGAGAGGTAAATGCATGGAAGAGTGAATGATTATTGGTAATGATTGAACAAATACTGTCATTTCAAAAACAAGTTTGCCAGTCAGAGAAGCCGGAAAGGCTATTCCTAGGCTATTCTAAGAAAAGAACGAGGTTGTGAAAAGACACAATTACAGGAAAGGTAACACCAGCAGCTTGCTCTGGGCTGGTCAACAAGCGATAGCTGTGGAGTGGTACAGGAACATGGGTTTTTTCCTGTAAATTGCACTGTAGCACACTCCTAACTACTGATAGAGAGAAGTCAAAGACTCAGAAGAATGATTAAATCACTTCTGTGTTTTAAAATGCTACTGTTCTGTAAATATAGTGGCAATGGCAGCAGTTTTCGAATCTACCAAATGTATCCCATTAAAATAATCAGAGCAAAACTAAAGAATCATGGACAATCCTATATAATAAAAGCGTAATATGCAAATCGACCTAACGGCAGAACCACCAGTCAGCAGAGGGCAGGGCTGGCAAGCAGGCGGCACCAGGCCAGCCAAGGCGCATGCCAGCGGGCAGAGGGAGGAAACGGCTATCAGCGGGGGGGTGGGGGTGGGGGGGGGGCTGGCACTGTCCCCTGATCGGCCTGTCTTGTCACCTCCCGCAGAGGGAGGCCGGGTGGTAATGGTGGGGTGATGGGGGTGGCGCCATCCCCTGATTGGCCTGGCGGCAGCGTAGTAACAAGGTTATGGGAGTAGTGCCGTCCTCTGATCCCCTGTCCTCACCTCCTGCAGAGGGAGGCCAGACTGCAGCTTAGGGAGCGGGCCTATGCCATCAATAGGACATCCCCTGAGGACTCCTGGACTGTGAGATGGTGCAGGCTGGGTTGAGGGACAACCCCCCCCCCCTCCAGTGCACAAATTTTCGTGCACTGGGCCTCTAGTGTATATAATAAAATTTAGTGCTGAGATCTGCCCTTAATTACCCAGGAACAAATTAGTGACAGCTTATAAGAGCCTTGTGATATCAGCAACTACACAGGGAGAGGTAGAGGGAAGGCCTTGAGACAAGGAGAACCTCCAAATCCCCAACAGGCACTCACTGGAAAGTGCATTGGGCCAAATTAGAGGAGCAATAGAGACTAGAAGTGTGCTCTCAATGATTCAATGCAAGAGTGAGCCAAACGGGACTGTAAGGCAATAAGTACTTATGCTATTAAAGCTGAGTCATCCCTAACAAACTGAAGAGCCTTCCACAAGCCTCCACACTAGGGAGAACCTGCAGGAATGGATTTCAAATTGAGCAAGACAGGGACATCCACAAGCAATGAAAGAAGGAAGGGGAAGGAGAACAGAGGCAGCTGATCTCAAAAAGTTAACAAGGGATGTTGTTTTTATCACTTCACAAGAACAAGGGAGGAAGGCCTCTGAAGTTTTGACACCAATAAAGCTATGCTAGCCCACTTAACCTTTCCTGAAAGTACATGAAAATTAAATTAACTAACTTTTGAATTAACTAATTTTTAAAACTTGTCAACAAGGAAAATTTCAAAATTATTATGAGAAAAAAGGGAATAAGAAAAATAGTGATTTTTCTACAGATAATGAAAGTATACCAGGAAAACACATGTAGAAAACAGATAAAAACAAATATTTCAAAATGACCTGGAATAATTTAAGAAAATTATAAAAGCCATTAAAGAACAATACTGTACAAGTCATAATTAGAAAAAGTCAGAAAAGAAATGAGTAGAACCCAGCCAGGTTCGATCTCCAGTGGGGGTGCATATGGAAGGTAGTTGATCAATGATTCTTTCTCTTTCTCTCCCTCTCTCTCTCTCTCTCTCTCTCTCCCTCTCTCTCTCTCTTTCTCCCCTCTCTCTAATAAACAATAATAAACATATCCTCAGTTGAGGATTTTTTTGGTAAAAGAAATGAGTAGAAAAGCTAACATTTAAGAAAATGATATAACTCAATATAGAATTCTCATTTTTAAAAACAATTAGGTCAGAAATGAAAATTCAACTCAAATTTTGACACTATTCAAACACCGTAATTTGAAGATTCATAAAAGATGGAAAGGAGGAAAACATTTTATATGAAAATCAATTTGAGATTAAAAATATTCAGAGAAGCTAATAGATATAGGAGATATAGAAGCTAGAACATAAATAAATAGGAGACCCCAAAGAAGAAACAAAGCAATGGATTTAAGAAGAAATACTAAATACTGTAGGTCGCCCTAACCAGTTTGGCTCAGTGGATAGAGCATCAGCCTGCGGACTGAAGGGCCCCAGGTTCGATTCTGGTCAAGGGCATGTACCTTGGTTGCGGGTACATCCCCAGTAGGGGGCGTGCAGGATGCAGCTGATCGATGTTTCTCTCTCATGGATGTTTCTAACACCCTATCCCTCTCCCTTCCTATCTGTAAAAAATCAATAAAATATACTTAAAAATAAATAAATAAACACTGTAGCTCAAAACCACTTGAAACTGCATCTTAAAACTTGAAACTACAAATAAAAGATTTTTATCAGACTTTTCTATAACACTTTATGCAATAAAGTAACAGATTTAACATGCTCAAATGAATAAATTGCAGATTTTGGATTTTTCATGGCATATGCATGGATTTTACAGTTATCCAACCGGACCCTCCAATGAAAAAGTTGCCCAGGCTTTTCTGCTTTCTCACTTCCTTGCTGTATCCCTACTATTATTCTTCTCTCTTGGCATCCAAGAACCTTTGTATTGGGTAGGTTCAGTTCTTTCACATATCCTAGAAATGGGCACTAATCTCCAAGTGAAATTGTGAAACGTTAGGGTCTACATAGCAAAAGAAACCTTATCTTCACCCAAGGCAAGATTGATAACCATGTGCTGTTATAAACATGCAAGAATTCAGAGAACAGTGTCCCTGTGCACCTTTTTAAAAGATCGACTAGAGAATAAACTTCAGACAACCAAACATACTGTAAAGATTTTGACATAAGGGCTGCAGAAGTGTCTAGCCAATAAAAAAGAAGGGTGGTAGATTCAGAATATCAGTATTTTCAATCCCTAAAGAGTGAGTGGACCGAGGATATGATCATTTGTGGATGATGACACCATAAAAGAGAACATTAGTGCCTCCTCAAGAAAATACCCCTCAAGGAAGTCCTTAACATCACCTGCTAAAAACAACCAAACTTGAATCTGATCAAAATTCTAATACTACCCACATGAAGAAACACAAAGAATAGAAATGTTAACCACACCACACAAATACAATCATCAAAATCAAGACAATAAAAAATATGCAAGAAGCCCTGGCTGGTTTGGCTCACTGGATAGAGCGTCGGCCTGGGGACTGAAGGGTCCCAGGTTCGATTCCGGTCAAGGGCATGTACCGTGGTTGCAGGCACATCCCCCGTAGGGGGTGTGCAGGAGGCAGCTGATCGATGCTTCTCTCTCATCGATGTTTCTAACTCTCTATCCCTCTCCCTTCCTCTCTGTAAAAAAATCAATAAAATATATTTTAAAAAAATATGCAAGAAATGAAAAAAAATGGGAGGGGAATTCATGGTGTAAAAAAGACTTAAGATACATATCAAATACTCATCATGTGTGGGCCTTGTTTGAATTGTATTTCAAATAAACTGTAAACAAATATAATAGGGAAAAAATGAACACTGAGTATTTAATAATATCAAAACTGTCCTTATATTATAAGTATAATAATGGTATTGAACTTTTTGTTTGTAAATTATCTTAATAAAATACTTACAGATGAAATAACATGTCTGGGAGTTGCTCCAAAATAATCTGGTGGCAGGGAGTAAAAATACAAAGGAAAAAAAGATTGGGAATGTATTGGTAATTACTTAATCTAGACGAAAGGTATAGTGATTCAATATGCTATGCTTTTTCTCCTTTGGCATATGTTTGAAATTTTTAATGGTAAGTTTTTAAAAGACATAAGGAGTATTTACAAGCCCATACATTCTAGTCCTTAGACTTGCGTTGTGCCCCAGGAGAAATCCATCTTTTGAACACTGATGAGCACATAGAGAAACTGACTCCAGTGTGTGTGTGTGTGTGTGTGTGTGTGTGTGTGTGTGTGTGTGTGTGTGTGTAGATTTTCAAAATAGCAAATTTCTCTCTTTTTTGAATTTATTTTTATTTTCTTTATTGATTAATCTCTTCTACGCCCAAGTTTCTAATACATTTCACCTCGCTCCTCATATTGCAATTCAATGGAATGCTTTTAGTGAAGATTAAAATTGCAGTGACTTCTCAGAGTGAACATTTAAGGATAAGGGAACTCAAACAGTTAACTTTGGGCCTGAAAATAAGCCACTAGAGTAATTGTTTCTTGTGTGTGCTGGCATATGGTGGCTTGCAGGAAAAAAAATAGCCTTGGTGTTTGAATTATAAATTATCACTCATCTCTTTCTTGTTTTCCATGTTTTCTTTCTAGATATTTCCACACAATATACTTAGGTATTCGAAGCCGACAGAGTGGGGAGAATGACAGATGGAGGTTTTACTGGAAAATGGTGTATGAGTATGCAGATGTGAGTATGCTGCATTTGCTAGCCACCTTTCTGGAAAGTGCTCCACAGCTGGTCCTGCAGCTCTGCATTATCGTACAGACTCATAGCTTACAGGCCCTCCAAGGTAAGGGCTTGCAATTTGGTTTCTGAATTTGGGGAAAGACTGGCTACTTTTGTCACATCCAAGGAACTGTTCTAATACCCTTTGTTGATACAGGCCATGGTGCTTCCCGTTATATGCCTGCTGTTTGGCACTGAATTTGTGAATGATGCATATTTTGTTCTTGGCCATCACTTGTCAGCTCTAATTTATAGAAAGACATTTGTTTTGGCCTTCGAGTTGCCCTCTGTGTAGGAAAAATGAATTTTATGATTTTGCACTTAGCCACTATGAAAATACAGTTAACTAAGGCTTTCTGGTTTGTATGCTAGAGTAATATTTCTTTTACAAGTTGAATAAGAGTCATAGCTCTTTCTCTCTCTCTAATATCATCTATCTATACATATGAATATTAGGGTAATCTCTACAATTTTCTTTTGACTTTAAGAACCAGAGATTAAAAGAAAATGGTAGGGATTAGCTTAGTATTTTAAAAAGGACACCTGGAAAAAAATGTCAATATTTAACGATATATTGTTTGTACTAAGTTTTATCAAATGAATCTCATTATCAGATTAATATTTTCATGTTTTTCTGTGTTGTTTGATAATCTCCTCAGTAGCACTCTTCCATTTATGACAGATTTGCTCTGATGTTTCTGAGGGCCTGCTGCTCAAATCTTTTCTAGAAGCAGAAAGATTAGACAGACCAGTGGCAGACAGGTGGATAAATAAGTAGATGGGTGATGGATAGGTAGCCATTTTCTATAGAAAGAGTTTCCTGGCAATGTGATAATCCTGTTACTAGATAGATGTTATTAAACAGTTCACGCACTATGCTCGTTTTGTTTCCATTTCAGCAGAGCTTGCTGAGACTTCCTCTCTGCACACACATGTCTGGGCCATGCTCTAACTGGAGACTTGGTCTGGTTGGTCTGGGGAATCTCTACAATAGCGTTATAAATTTTCATAACTAGAAGCACATTAGCTTAGGCTGAGTGCTTTAAGGAGGGAGTGGGAGAGGCATATTATAGGTAAAGGAAGATGGAGGGTGTCCTGTAGCCAGTGACCCATTTATTCATGAATTCCTGGTTCAAGCCTGGCTCCACGCTGAAGTAGCTTTGGTCTAAGATGTTTGAAGAAAACTCCAAAAAGATCCATGGGGTGTGATTCTCAAATGTCAGAAAGCAAATGGGAAGAAAGAGAAGGTAGAGTGTTTGAACAGAAATAGAAGAGAAAATGTGGGAGAAGGCAAGGCCTATCGATTAGTTGTGAGTGGCTATGTTTAGCAGTGAAAGCTGCACAAGGTGGATCTGGCTTTGGTTTTCTCATTTTTGCTGTGAGATCTTGTGCAAGTCACTTAACCTCTCTGGGCCCCACTTTCTCAAATGTAAAAGTCACAAGCTAAACTAGAAGACCATTCTTTCCATCTTTGCATCAATAAATGCCCAACAAACTCATAGGGCCAGGCATGCATTAGAAAATCGTCTATAAATGAGCATACAACTTGAAAGGCAACATCAAACAAAATCTGTGTCAAAGAATCCAGTACTCTTCTCCAGAACAACTTGGCCACTCCTTAGTATAGTTACACAGTGAAAACTCTCTGGAAAAGGCAAACCCAAGCACCAATGTGGAGGGTTGCTAACGACCTTCTTGTGGCCCAAGAGTACTGAGTGTCTCTGCTAATTGTCTAAATGATTTAGAAAATTATGAAGACATTTTTATCCTAAAGAGGGTGGGGATAGAGGAGGAAAGGCGAGAGAGGGTCTAAGGAAATGAGATCATCTTTCATTTTGAGAGTTTTATGTAAAATTTTATACAAAAAAATAGAAAAAAGATAATCGTTAGTTTTTATCAGACTATTAACCCAAAGCATAGACATCAAAATGTATGTTGCTTGAAGTTGTGGCTCTTTCCTGACACCACATATTCCCAACTTACCTGCTAAGCTCACATTTGCATCCGGTTTGCCATAGACTTTGGGAACCAGACCTCATCCTTGGCCAAGGCAAGCCTTGATGTCAAAACCAGAAAGTCACAGGGAAATTATGTTCCATACCACTCCCGTGGGGGTCAGACAGGTTGATGCCAAGATCACTAGGATCAATGCCCGTAATGAAGCACACGGTGAAGAACAAGCTCGCTAGGTTAATCTTACGGCTGCCATTTTTTTTTTTAATATTTTTATTTATTTATTTATTTTTTTAATATATTTTATTGATTTTTTTATAGAGAGGAAGGGAGAGAGACAGAGAGTCAGAAACATCGATGAGAGAGAAACATCGATCAGCTGCCTCCCGCACATCTCCCACTGGGGATGTGCCCGCAATCCAGGTACATGCCCTTGACCGGAATCGAACCTGGGACCTTTCAGTCCGCAGGCCGATGCTCTATCCACTGAGCCAAACCGGTTTCGGCACGGCTGCCATTTTTTAACAAGGAAGGTGGGCAGAAAGTTGTATTAAAAAACCAAAGAGTGGAAATACCTGACAGTGAACAACAACAACAACACAACCTCCTGCAAATAACCTCAGGCAATGCTATAGGAATCCTTTTCCATTTCGAAAAGAAACCTGTCTTCAGAAAGAGCTTCTAAATTCAATAATCCTCCTCTGATAAATGACAAAGGAACGAGCTTATAAATTAAATTGGTATGAATGATAAGAACAGAACTTTTCCCCTCCAGAAAAAAAAATTAATGTGATGGAACCTAGTCTAATTTATATTTTCATACATCTTTATGGTAAAAGATGCTTGGGATTTATACGGAAAAACACAGCTTGTGTAGTGAATACCAATAATCAGTGGCATGACACCTGTGGAGAATTTGCAAATAGCTCTGAATTAAAATCTCTAAAATATTCTTACTTAGCAAATGGAGAGTGGTCCTAGGTCTGCAAGTCATTTTCGTATATGACTATGCCTAAAATTATTTTTTAGGATAGAAAGAAAATTGCTTTTTTAACCTGACTTTAGCCATCTACTACTCGCTGAAAGACACTCTTTGAAAACCAATAAGAAAATCAAACAAGAAATATGACATTTAAAAACTTTTCTTTACAAATTATATCCTTCTTATGGAAGTTGATGTAGCTCTGCAATATACTGTTAGCTGTGAAAATCTTTTCTCCGCTCTCCTTCCTTATTGAATAATTAAATCAGAGACAGCTCCTTGTGCTGCAGGCTGACAGGTTCCGTGGAGAACTGTTCAAGTATAATTATTTCTCAGTTTGTACTGTTCCAGGAAGGACAGATTGGTTCCTGTTCTGAGACCAGCAATCAGGGAAGAGCGGAACCTTGAATGTGAATGCAATTTTTTTCATGCCACACTGTCCCTTAGACACAACTCCATTTTCCCTAGGAACATCCAACTCTGAGTATAAAGAACACTCAAGGAGGTCCAACAGGCCATGCACAGCTAAGGCGGCACAGTAGATGTTACAGCACCTGGTATAGCATCTGTGATCAGAGAATTTCCCATTTATACTTTGCTATGGTTTTCTAATCCAATCCCATATCCCCACCAGAAGAGGGGTGGGGGGAGCAGTGAAAGCAAGGGAGGGAGGGAGAAAGATAGAGTGAGAGAGAGAAGAGAGATTGGGGCGGGGCGGGGGGGAGGGGTGGAGGCTGCCTGGTAAACAGAGATGGGCAATAGAACTCCCGTTAGTCTCCATGCAGAGGACACATCACCAGGAAGATGTGGTCCAAGACCTGTCATTTCTATTTTCAAACAACATCTCAGCCCCATCTAGGACCTTTGATTTTATCTAAATGGTGAAAGCAAAGATAGGAAGATATGTGCCCACCTTCTATAGAGAGCAGGTACCCTACCTGGCCTTTGCACAGCCCTGAGAATCTGTAAAATGAGCAGGCTGGACTAAAGGGCTTCTAAAGTCACTGTTTTGTGAGTGTATTCTCTGAACATTCAGTTTTGATTTTGTAGACCCAGCATCCTACAGCTGACAGAGAAGATACTGACTCATTTACAAACAAGAGCCCACACAAGCATGTCAAACTCGCGGCTGGCGGGTTGCATGCTGCATTATTTAAACAAGGCATGCGGCCCACCGGCCGTGAGTTTGACATGCTTGGAGGCTTTCCCTAGCAATGAAGCAGCACCATGCTCCATGTGGTCCATGAGCATTCTCCACGGAGCAGCCTGGGGAATGCTGTGCAGGACCAGGGCATACCATGTAACCTTCACAAAGAGTGTGTGCAAACCACAGTCCAGGTTGCATTTAACAGTCACCTGGCTCTGACAGACAGGTGTGCATGCCCATCATGCAGAAACAACCCTTCCTTGTAGAGGAGCCATCTAGATAACACAAAAGAAATCAGACCGTTACCAGATGCTAGTGGTTGCCAGTCTACGAGCCCAAATGTTTCCACTTTTCCCTGATAGCTCTAGTTCATTTCCAATCTCCACCCTTTCTTACTCTCATTGGAAAATCTCATTCTGCACTCTAAATGTATTTCGCTGTCATGTGCAGAGTGAGTTATGAACAAATGCCTTCCCACAGGAAGACTTTGCTGAGCAAGAAAACACACTTACACCTACTTCTATTCTGATTTCTTCGTATTCTAAAAACTCGCGTATTGCCCCTTTTGCCAACAATTTATTGTGAATAATGTGTAAGAGAGAGAAGAGAGGGCTGAAAGAAGTTTCTAACTATTCTTGCCTTGCATCCCGTGAGACTGCGGAGGAAGTCAGAGTTAAAGGGGCTGTCCCCATACATGTGGCAGACACTGTCCCAGCTAACGAGAGTAACTAATACCCCCTGAAGTGAGAAAACTATCTCATTTGTCATATCCTGATGAGGACTTTCAAGACCTAAATCATTGGATTTAGTTATTCAACTTTGTAGTAAAGCAGGTAGAGCCACACCCCGCTACCTTCAAGCCCAAGTCCTTCCACCTCTGCCCCGTCTCTGTATGTGCCTGAGTCCGTCCACCTTCCACCTCTGCCTCCTCTCTGCATGTGCTTGAGTCCACCTCTGGATTTCTGCTAGGGAGGAAAAGGGG